GGGGGTTGTTGGCGTTAGAGTGGTACTGGAGGATGTAGGAACGTAGGCTGAAAGGTGTACAGGAGGCTGAGGCGGTGGTTTATATCCATGCTTATGATACGAGAGGAAGACTGAGGGGGCCGAGATGGATGGACAGATAAGAAAAGGGAAAACGCGAGGGAGACTTTGGGGGAAGGCGAGACAGAGAGAGAGACAAAGATGGAGACAGAGAAAGTGACAGAGAGAGACAAAGGGAGAGAGAGAGAGAGAGAGAGAGAGAGAGACGGACTGAGACAGAGACGGACAGAGACAGAGACAAACTGTAGAGATGTATTTACCTCATGTACGCACACGCTGTGGTTACTACTGAGGTATTCTGCATCAATTGGTTTCGTGACCATCACTGTATTGATGAGTCTACGGACGCCCACCCACTCACGCCCGGTACGGTACTGTGCATGAATGTAAGTGACTGGGTGATAAAATAACGAGGGTGTTTAATTAACATACGAATGAGTGCTTCGGTGAGTTGAAGAAAACAACAGGAGAGTGAGGAACTACGTGTTTTGTATTCCATCACGATTTCTGCCCTGGCGAGTTCAGTACCTTTTAGTGCTTTGTGCTGATGGCCTCAGCCGTTGATTTGCTAGGTTTACAATAAGACATATCTCCAATTAGATATATTGTATCTACGTGTACTTAGTAATAATAGTAATAATAGGTAGTATTTGTATAGCGCTTTACAATCATCAATTTTTAATGCTGGATCACGATATGGATGACTTTGGTTCGGATGCCTCTCAAGAACGAGTATAACGTGGGTTGTTTGGGGAATAATTTTTTTACTCCCCACTTACTTAGCTCTGTCTTATCGAATATTGACATTAAATTGAAAGTATTTTTTCTGGGATAATCTTCTTCTTTTTTTTTTCATCGAGCGTTAAATACATACTAGACCAAGATGACCCGTATGTTTTTCGGCCCCTAAATGAACCCATAAGACCAAACTTCACACACTCATGAGCACGTCTAAGGAGGATTTGCCCTGGCCCTTCCCGAACTCTTTTAGTCGTGACTTCATGAAATCGATAAAGGTCGAAACGTTGTGATCATTTTTTCTTCTTCTTCTTCCTCCTTTTTATTTTATGGGTGCGGGCTTTTTGTGGCCTCAGTGTTTTATAACATGGGCAGCTTTGAGGTGAACAGTCGTTACTCTTTAAATAGAGGCGGACTCGGCTAGCGAGAGGCGGGTCCGTGAACAGTGAGGGAACAAGGAGCATGACTACGTCAATGGTCGGGCTGCGGAGACAAGAGGAATGGTGGAGTTTTCTTTTCTTTTTTTGTTGGTCATGTATCTTTAGGAAACGGGCTGGGTTGTGGGTGGTTGAAAAAAAGGTAGAGGAGGAATGCTGCAGATCACAAGTGAGGATATTGACTTTATTGCAAACACTTACTTTGAGCTTAGCTGCACGGAATTTTTCTCTCTTTTTGTGTGTGTGTTTTGAAGGTGGAGTCGTGGTTTTTTTAATGGGAAGTCCTTGTGGTAAAGTGACCGAAATCTGGACGAGGAAGCTGTTGGTCGCAGCTGTAGCAAAAATAGTAATGATACTCGAATAATAATAATAA